CACACAATAAGAGACTGAGCAGAGAGTATAGGAAGCCGAGAGACAGAGCCATTTGGGGGCAAAACCCTCTGCAGCACCTAAATGAGCATTGTGAAGTATCCATCGTCACCTTATTTTATCCTTCCTCTGTGCTAGTAACTAGCCATCTAGTTACACAGAGCAACTGCCTTTGATAACTATATCCCTGCAGGTCACATGTGAATGTGTTGAATGACTGTGAGCTCTTAAACAGGTGAAATCAATAAAATGTTTTTGAAAACTAGTGCTATCGCCTTGGTCTCTGCGCTTTCCTCCTCCAATATTCCAAGTCATGGGGGGAAATGCAAATTTTAAACAATGTCAGAGATTTGACTAGAGCAAGCAGGGGGTGACATGGTGGATAGTGGCATTTTAAAACAAGGTTTGAGTACAGCAAGAAGGGTGTTGGGTAATGCACTGTTGTGCTAGCCTTTCAGTGTTGGCTTCTGTGTTTTACCCATCTACCCATCTCTGCTACTGCTTCTTATTAAAATTAGTTGGTTGGGCACAATGGCTCAGAGTCTCTCCATCTCTGCTTTACTCAAATCTCTGCCATTGTTTGAGTACAGCAAGAAGGAAGAAACACTGAAAGGAGGGAAATGCAGTTTTAAACTTATCCCTCTTTCGCTCCTCAGCTGCTTCATGTGAGGGAGATAAAGGATGCAGAGCCCTCAAACATTCCATAGTACCTTCCCACAGTGTATTTCACTCCTCCATCAAGACGTTCCAGGTACAATGTAGTAATTTAGAAGAGATGCTTTATTATCATGTGAACACCATCTATGTACATCCGTCAACTGAACTTAGCCTTCTATAACGGAACAAGCTTAATGATAGGGATTGCATTTAAGGTTTTATTAATCTTAAAGATACAGCAACACCTATCAACATGGGTACGTGCACAAAGGAGGCTACAAAGTAAGAGAGAAGCAACAGCACAGAAAAGGGGTGATGGTCTTTGTGCAAGGGAGAGTTGGAAAAAAGGAGGAAGGAGGAGGTAGGGGAAAAGGGGTGAAGGTGATAATGGTATGCAGAGGAGGCTGCAGAATAGGAAAGAGGATAAGGCATAGATATGGGGGTGATCTATGTGCAAGGGTCTAGATTCAGGTAGGTAGCCTTGTTGGTCTGAAGTAGTCGAAATATATAAAAAAATAAAAAAATTGTCCAGTAGCACCTTAGGTAAAGGTAAAGGGACCCCTGACCATTAGGTCCAGTCGTGGCCGACTCTGGGGTTGCGGTGCTCATCTCGCTTTATTGGCCGAGGGAGCCAGCGTACATGTGGCCAGCATGACGAACCAGAGCAGCGCACGGAAACGCCGTTTACCTTCCAGCCAGAGCAGTACCTATTTATCTACTTGCACTTTGATGTGCTTTCGAACTGCTAGGTTGGCAGGAGCAGGGACCGAGCAACAGGAGCTCACCGTCTCTTCAGTGTATCTGAAGAAGTGTGCATGCACACGAAAGCTTATACCAAGAGCAAACTTAGTTGGTCTCTAAGGTGCTACTGGACAATTTTTATTATTTTTTATCTATGTGCAAGGGAGAATTGAAAAAAGTGAGGAGGAAGGTAGAAAGAAAAGGGTGTGTGTGAAAAGAGGAGGTGCAAAGGGGATCACAAAAAGGAGGGAGGAGGGACCAGGGGAATGGGCTTGAAGACGGAAGCAGTGGCACGGAATGGTTTGAAAAAGAGGGCCCTCATAATTGGGTGGAAGGTGAAAAGGATAATTCATAGCTGCAATGTGTGGGAGGAGGAAGATTCTGGTGGTTTACATGTGGGTGGTTTATGTGCAGGGGGGGGTCCCCACAAAAGGAGGCGGCATGCACATGGAGTGAAGGTGAAAACAGGTACAAAGTGGGATTGCAGAAGAGAGAGAGAAATGGTTACAGAATAGGACTGGGAAGGTGAAAAGTGAGCTTAGTAGTTGCCTGGGCTGGGAAAGGGAAGTTATAGTGGGTTAATGTGGGGGGGGGTGACAGTGGAGTTGGCGAACCGAGTGATCAGAAATTCAGCCCTTAATAAATAGAATCTCTCTGTACAGCAAGTATGATAATCCACACAATGTTGGGACTTCATTTTGAAAAAGGGAAATCTACAGCCTGAATTCTATGGAAAGAGACATGGAAAATATTAACTTTAATTTTCTCCTGCAAATACAGAGACCGTACAGTGCTTTACAACAATCCTCTACCTTAAAAAATGAATGCTTTCTACTTGCTTTATCCTGCAGTGAAATCATAATACTGTGCTGATGACACCATAGATAGTTACCATGGAAACTGATCTCTCAAATTCAGCCTTAAGAAAGTACTCAAACATTGGTCTTCAAGAAGGATCAGAGATAATATATTCCTAATTTAAAGCTAGCTATCTAAGAAATAAATCGAGGGTATGCAGATTTTAACATAAAATACCACAAGCATGTAAAACAACCAGCAAACCACACCACAGAAGTGTTGCATCAAAAGAAAGGTACAAAAAAACCCCATTTAAACAATTAAGTGTTACTGCTTGGTTGTCTTTATTCTTTTCTATAGGGTGCCAGAATGCACACAGATTTGTAGGAAATTCTATTTTGATTCCATAGCATCCAAACAACAATTTTCCTTAAAATAATGTCTTCCATTTGCTAATCTACTACAAGCAACTTACTATTCAGCCTCCCTGCTGGGGACACACACACACACACACACACACACACTACAGCCACCAATATAAAATGTTATAGCAAATTGGGGTGGCGAGTACATGCACAGTAAATCATGTATATGTTAGCTTTGCCTCCTACAGTAAAGACATTACTGTAGAAATTGCAACTGAAAATCCCAAGGTGAAAGCTGTGCCACACAGTTTTAAAGCACCAGTGTTTTAATGGTCAGTAGCTGTAGGGAATTTAAAAAATGTTAAAGCCACAGAGAACATTTTCCACAGCAATTCATAATATTAGTTATCTATTACTGGATGCCTAAGTTTGGGCACTCAGTACTTGCATTCGCAGAAATGTTACAAATTGACAGCATCACAAGATCTTGTGTGAGTAGCAGTCCTGTTTATTTATATCACAAAGTCAAGATGCACAGAGCTGGAAAGAACCTGATGGGTCACCTATTCTAAGTTGGAGTAGATGATCCTAAGGGTCCCTTCCAACTCTATGATCCAATGATGATAGTAATAATGTGATTATTTGTACCCTGTCCATCTCACTGGATTGCCCCAGCTACCCTGGACGGCTTCCAGCAGTCTAAGATTTCTGGGCTAAACACAAACTGTAGAAAACACTATAGAACCTGTTCTTTAACAAGTAAGATACAGTGCATATGTGTGGGTTGTCAAGCACAGGATCACAGTGGTAATTAGTCACTCATTTCTTTTCAAGAGTAAACAAAACCAAAGATCTTATTAATACTGTCATAAAACATACCTCGTTGCTAATGGTGGTGCTTTGACCCTCTGACTTTTATCTTTACACCCTACCCATAATCCCTTAGCCATATACTTCACAAACTACTTGTTCTTTTACTTTTGGTTTTTTCCCCCTGTTTGTCAAAGTGCTTCTCTAGCTGCTCCTTTGGTCTCATGATTCCCCCAATGCCCCCTTAACTAATTAGCCAGCAGTTGTGACTCTGATCGTCCCTGTTGCTTTCTGAAAAAAGCTCAGTCTCCCACTCATTGCATTGAAAAGCTGCCCACCTCTTTGCTCCTTGTTATCTGGTTCTCACTCTCAGCTCACTACCTAAAATGTCATTTGCTGTTAATTCTCTTCATTCTCCTTTCCCACTCTCACCTTTGCACCACCCACCATGCTTTTCCTTATGCTTAGGAGAACAGGCCCTTCTATTTCCATTAGCAAAAATTCATTTTATTTTATTTTTTGTTAAAAGAGAGTCCGGATTCATCTTTCAATTGTCACTGTAGCTCCACTGGCACATATTTAGTGCAAAATAAACAAAATAAACATTAAGTAGTGATGTATGGAAGTGAGAGCTGGACCATAAAGAAGGCTGATCGCCGAAGAATTGATGCTTTTGAATTATGGTGCTGGAGGAGACTCTTGAGAGTCCCATAGACTGCAAGAAGATCAAACCTATCCATTCTGAAGGAAATCAGCCCTGAGTGCTCACTGGAAGGACAGATCCTGAAGCTGAGGCTCCAATACTTTGGCCACCTCATGCGAAGAGAAGACCCTGGTGTTGGGAAAGATGGAGGGCACAAGGAGAAGGGGACTGCAGAGGACGAGATGTTTGGACTGTGTTCTCGAAGCTACCAGCATGAGTTTGACCAAGCTACGGGAGGCAGTGGAAGACAGGAGTGCCAGGCGTGCTCTGGTCCATGGGGTCACGAAGAGTCGGACACGACTAAATGACTAAACAACAACAAACATTAAGACTGCAATATTATGCATGCTAGTAAGTCCCATTGAACTCCATGGGAATGACTTCTGAGCACACATACAGAGGATCCCACTGCAAGTAGTAACTGTGACCGACAACAGGACAAACCTCCCAAGTCTATTTTTCATGCTAGAAACCAGTTGCGACTATGACCCCACTATTCAGATAGTTTGCACAAACCACAAGGATATGTTTATTTTGAAAACAGCATATAAATTTATGTCAAAGAGGCATCTGTCAACTGCCTTTCCCTCTATTTCCTACCGAGCCTAGTAAGGGTTAAGTGCGTGCACTTGACTCTTCCTCTGAATCCTGTTTTCAAGGAGAGCCTAAAGCAGATTAAACTTCAAAGCAGAAGACTGTTCTTTCAAAGAGGTTTCCTTGTAGCACACACACAAAAAATTAAGCACTGCAAGCAATTCTTGACTCCACTATGGAGATGCAATTTGATAAATAATCTCCCAACATTCAAGGCCAGAATCATGCAAAACTATACCATCAGCACTTTCATCTACCAACTCGCCTCCTCTCTCTTTCCTGTGGCCTTTTCATTTTATTCAGCTCTTCAATGATAATAAAAATGTGCTTCCTACCACTTAGATGAGGCGCCACACGCTCTGCTGGTAGAGGGTCGTTTCCATTTTCCGTAGTGATGCTGGGCGTGTTGTCTTTTTCAAGCAGTCTATCCACCATGGCAATAATGCAGTTTAAACTCTTCCCCACATTGGCCCACACCCTGTCCTGAAAAAAGTATCAGTATCACCACTCAATATTTAAAAATGCATTTAAAGACACAACAGTAGATTCATTAGTTTCCTTACTATAGTGAATAATAACAAAACAATATATTCCAGCCTTGAATCTACTTCAGCAGAGGATCTTTGCTACTTACTTCAAAGGTACAATTGCAGAATAAATTATTCTAGGATTGTCGCTACGTTTAGAATTGCCACAGACTATTCAAGAGGAGCATCCATGTTAGTATATTGCAGCAAAGAGAAAGACACATGTAATACCTCAAAGACTGACAAATATGATGTCACATATACAGTTGTGGACCACAGCTCCCACTTTCTCAAATTTATTTTGGCAAAATTTATTCTTGTGCATCTGAAGCTGTTTGGGCTGATGTATATTCTAAGGGAAGAGTATAGCTATTTTCTTCAAGATGAAATACATTAGTACATGTTTACATAACTGACGAGAAGCCCAGTCCCTGAAGATACTCAATACCTCCAAGTGGGAAGTGGCATTTTTAAAAGCCATATAAAATTAAATTCGTATCCCACCCTTCCTGTGAAAGGAGCACAGGGCAACAAGAATCACACGATAAAGCAACAAAACATCCTAAAAACAATTCCAGTACAGATGCAGATGGGGAAATATCTCAACTTAAAAGGCTTCTTGGAAGAGGAAGGCCTTTAGTAGGTGCCCAAAGGATGCCATTTTCTAATATTCAAGGGGAAGGAATTCCAAAGGGGAGGTGCAGCGACACAAAAGGCCCCATTTCTACATTATGAAGAATGGACCTCCTGATAACACGATATCTGCAAGAGGCCCTTACCTGCAGAGTGCAGTGATTGATAGGGTATACAAGTGAGGCCACCTTTCAGGTATCCTGGTCCCAAGCTATAGAGGGCTTTGCACATCAAACTAGCACCTTTAACTTATCTAGTAGCTAACTGACAGTCAGTGCAATTCTTTCAACAGTGGGGTAATATGTTGACTATATCCTGCCCCAGTGAGCATTCGAGCTGCCCACATTTTGCACTAATTACAACTTCTGGATAAATCTCAAGTGCAGCATTGCAGTAATACAGCCTGTGATTACCAGCTCACAGATGAGTCAGGTTACAGTGATCCAGAAACAGCCATAGCTGGTAAAAGGCACTCCTAGCTACTGAGGTCACCCAGGCCTCTAGCAACAAAACAGAACCAGGAGCACCTCCAGACTATAAACCCGCTCTTTCAAGGGCAGTATAGCCCCACTCAAAGCTGGCAATTGACCAATTATCTGGACTTGGGAACCATTCACCTACAGCACCTCATTTTTGCCACAATTCAGAGTCCACCACTGAGTCCAGAGATCAGTTCAGGGCTTGCACAGCCTCTCTTCATTTGAGTGCTACTGAGAAATATAGGTGGGCACCACCAGCATACTGATGAGGCCTTGCCCCAAATCTCTGAATCTCTAAATCGCTTCATATAGATGTGAAACAACACTGGTGACATAATAGTACCCTATGATATCCCACAGCGCATCTGCCAGAGGGCCAAAAGACAATCACTCATTATTGTTCTTGGAAACCAACCCATAGGACTGGAACTACTGTAAAACAGTGCGTCTATACCCATCCCACTAAGTTGGCTGAGAAGGAGACCATGGTCAATAGTACTGAAAACCACTGAGAGATCAAGAAAGAATAACTGGGTTGTGCTCACCATCTTTAAATTCAGCTCCATAATTTTTTGAGAGTTAGTAAACATTTCATTGTGTTTGCAAGTATGCAAAGCATAGCATGGATGCCTGTGGTGTTGTGGTTTATGTTTGCAGTGGGTCAGTGGCAGAGAACACATTCTGAGAATAAAAAGGAACCGTGGTGGATTAAAGCTGTGACTTCAAACAATTGTGCTTACTTAACTGTTCATTAACAGCAGGTTTTAATAGGCCATGGAAGTCAGGAAACAAGTTTTATGGGGAGAGAATCAGATGCCTTAAGCAGTGATATATCAGGTTCAATCAGCATTACATAACTGTTCAGCATGTCACAGTTACTTGTAAACTCAACTACTGGATCTTCAATCACATGGTAAAGCTAGCTTACAATATCTAGCTAGCTTCACATTTCTGATCAGCTGTTGAAATAAGGTAAAAGCACATGCGCTGAATTATCAACAAGATCGTCAGCAGCTATTTCTATCAGCCCCTGAAAGAAAAGGAACAGTATAACAATAATGTAAAGACAGGTAAAAGTGGAATATTTCTAAAGAGATATGTGAAAGTGCAGGATAGAATGCCAAGTAGGAGAAAATTATAACATGATGATAATGTTGTGAGGTGAAGGTGAAGGTACCCCTGACCACTAGGTCCAGTCGTGGCCGACTCTGGGGTTGTGGCGCTCATCTCGCTTTATTGGCTGAGGGAGCCGGCGTACAGCTTCCAGGTCATGTGGCCAGCAGGACTAAGCCGCTTCTGGAGAACCAGAGCAGCACATGGAAACGCTGTTTACCTTCCTGCTGTAGCGGTACTTATTTATCTACTCGCACTTTGACAGGCTTTCGAACTGCTAGGTTGGCAGGAGCAGGGACTGAGCAATGGGGGCTCACCCTGTCACAGGGATTCGAACCGCCGACCTTCTGATCGGCAAGTCCTAGGCTCTGTGGTTTAACCCACAGCGCCACCCGTGTCCCTTGATAATGTTGTAGAAGAGTTCAAAAGCTTATACAAGCTCAGTCTGCAGCATGAACACATTTTTTTAAAAGTACAGTATTGTGCCAGCAATTATTGACATGTATATGCCAATATGGGACGCGGGTGGCGCTGTGGGTAAAAGCCTCAGCGCCTAGGGCTTGCCGAGCGAAAGGTCGGCGGTTCGAATCCCCGCAGCGGGGTGCGCTCCCGTCGTTCGGTCCCAGCGCCTGCCAACCTAGCAGTTTGAAAGCACCCCCGGGTGCAAGTAGATAAATAGGGACCGCTTACTAGCGGGAAGGTAAACGGCGTTTCCGTGTGCGGCTCTGGCTCGCCAGAGCAGCGATGTCACGCTGGCCACGTGACCCGGAAGTGTCTCCGGACAGCGCTGGCCCCCGGCCTCTTGAGTGAGATGGGCGCACAACCCCAGAGTCTGGCAAGACTGGCCCGTACGGGCAGGGGTACCTTTACCTTATATGCCCTATCTGCCGTAAGCAGTCACCTTGCACCTGCATCTTTATATAAAAGGTTTGCAGGGTTGTTGTTTTTTGCAAACATTAGTCCTTTATAAATAACTCTGGTTTGTGTTTACTTTTCATATTTCTGGGTACTGCTTTTAATAGGTGACAAATCCCCTACTTACCAGATTATTTCTAAAGACCTACCTGACTAATGGATTATAGAATGAACAAATGATCTAATCACCTGTGGACTCAAGAGAGGAATTATGAAGGAATGTGATTTTAGCTTAAATGTTTTTATTTCATAGGAAATAATTTATTTCCCTTCGGTGTTAACTCAGAAGACATATCTCCCTCTGCTTTTCTCTCTCTCTGTTTTAAAAATCTATATACCAGAACCTATCCCCCCCCCATCTCTGACAAACCCTGAAATCAAACCTGACTCACTCCTGTTAAAAAAAACCAACACCCTGCTTAGCAATAAGTTATTCATGTCCTTGTTCTGTAAGTGCACACATGTTTATCTGAACTAAAACTTCACCCCCGTGGGAGTTATCACAATGGTAAAATTAAACTCGTGAGTTTTTCTCAATCCCAGAGTTGATTTGCCCTTATTTGATCTTTTTATTTCTGAAAGACAACTAAAATAAGCCTTTGGTAAAAATCAATGCTAAATTTCTATTTCATTTCAAGCATAACAAGCATAACAACATGATGTTTAAAGACTGTATTGTACTGGCACTGAAAGAAGTATGCAACCTTCCAACTTTTGCAAAAATGAAAAATAGAAATCCCCCTTCACCTTGACAAACATGCTTCTAACAGTACAATCTTCCGTATGTTTACTCATTAGCAAGAAACACTGTTCAATGAGATTTTACTCACAGCTTAGTGTGCATAAGACAGCAGTCTACGATAGTGAAATAGAAATAACTGGCATGTTTATTAACTAAGGGCCAAACTAGACATGCCATTAAGGGTTTATTTGCAGTGTGTGTGTGTGTGTGTGTGTGTGTGTGTGTGTGTGAAAGTGAAATGTAAATAGAAACCACAAGGCAAGGGGCTTGATACCTGTCAAGGTCAAGCAGAGTAACCCTTTCCTCCCCTGCTGCAGCCCTGAAGAAACTATGACTTTCCTCCCAATTAGCAGTTTCAAAGGAGTTATTTTTGTGAAGGCCACAGCAGTGGACAAAAGAGTTAAACCCACCCCCACCCTCAACCCTGCTTCCTGCCTGCTGAGATCCTGATAATGATCACCCTCCCACGGTGCCTATTTATATTATTGTTTCTTATTATTTACTTCAGTTTTTTTAGAGTAGCTGTTTGTGGCAAAGTACCCCCTCCTTCCCTTTCCTCATCTTTCCACAATCCAGCCCACCCTGCTGTCTCCAGATATTGCAGCATGGTATTCAGTGTTTTGACTTAGAACAAATGTTTGTTTACAATTCAGTTTTGACACAAAGAAAAGATAAAAATTGGGAAGAGAGAGAAAGGTAAAATGTAGGCAAGAAAACCCAAACACATAACCATACAACAATATCACTAAAGAGAAACAGGTTCTGAATCTGAATCAGAGGCTCAAATTGGCCCAATTCAGGCCAACTTGGATTTTACCCAAAGCCACATGAACTTATACAATGACAGCTGAAGTCTAGTATTAGGAGGACTAGTTCTTCCCACATTTTCATTTATGTTAGGCAATTAACTTCACTGGAAGTATTCCCAGTTTACACTGATAGCTACTGAGATATACTGGGACATGGGCCAAACTTCGCTGTCACATTTTATGCAAGTCACTGAGGTTCAGAATAGCAATGATTAGCTCTATTCTCCCCTCCCTCTGCCTTCTGGTTCACAACTGGGGGCAGAATCCTATTTTACCTTTCAACCATTATAGTACAAGTGCATGTATATAAAGATTAAAATAGAATCACTGTAAGACATGTCCAAAAGGTACATTTTTCTTCCCCAAAGAAAAGTAAAACATCTTGGGAGGAGGAGGGCGAGCAAGCATTCAAAATCTGAATTGAAGCTGAGCTAAACTCTGGCAAATATTCTTGCTGCACAAAACTGTCCTCACTGCTTAGCAAGGTAGTCCTTTCTTCCCTCTGTCTGTACTATTTTTGATATTTCTCAACCATAACCCTTCTTGCTTCTGGTGCTGCAACGGAACTTGCATGTTTATGTCTCCTAAAGTGTGGCTGAAATGTGCTTCCTTTTAGGTGGCAGCTCATCCCGGTTTCCTGCTTGAGGTGAAAAGGAAAATTGCTGTCCTGTGTATGTGCCTTGCTCCTCTTGCTTCCCCCTACCGCCCCTCAAAAAACCAAAGTCTTGCTTACTGGCATCATGCAGCTATGGTTTCTGGGGAGATTGTGTGAGAGACCACAAGATTATGCAGAGGGCTCTGGATGCCTTGTGTGACCTCTCCTGGTAAGCATGGCACTCTGCCAGAATCCAGAAGCCACTGCTTTTTCAACAGTAGGGATGGGGGGGGGGAGAGAGGCATGCCCTTGGATTCTGCCACCTGAAGCGGCTGCCTCAGTTTGCCTGATGGCTGGGCTGTTCCTGCTTTCTTCTGTGTTTAAGCTGCAGTAAGATGACACACTTAAGATATTAAATATATATATTTAGGGGCAATGATTACATAGTAATTGTGTCTTCTGTTGTTGTTGTTGTAACATTTATATCCCCACCTTTTCTTCAAGGAGCTCAAGGTGTTGTATATGCTCCTCCTCCATTTTATCCTCACAACAACAACCCTGTGAGGCAGGTTAGGCTGAGAGAGTGTGAATGGCCCAAGTTCACCCAGCTTCATGGCTCAAGCAGGCGTTTGGACACTGGTCTCCCAGGTCTTAATTCACAGGTCTTAATTCAACACGTTAACCATTACACCACACAGGTTCCTAGAAGATCTGTTTTGGCAAATCAACTGTATTATCTTCTCACATGCATTCTGAAATTTCTCTTTTCAAAAATTTGGGTAAGTAAAGCCCGGACTTATAACTCTGTTGTCTTTTCATATCTGTCCACTGCTGTTCATAAAGTACTTTCTAACCAGGCATGCTAACTAGCTAGAAATATACAACACTGGCTTCTAAATGGCACTCTGCCCACCTAACTCTTGCATTATGTATGTAGTGACTTTTTATCCTCCCTGAAGGGAGGCTTTGGAATGATAGAAACAGCTGGTGAGAGAAAACGGGAACAACTATTCAGAGACGATCTGTAACCATCAGGTGAAATATTTTTCTTTACGGAGTTAGCATTGCTTTGGTGCTGCCTAGGAATACCATGGCCAATTGCATTTTACTCAGCAGCCTAATCGGCATTGATCTTAACCGCCTGACAGTATTTGTAACTAACAGCGTTGCACAAACAGAAGCTTCCAGCATGAACTCTTAAAATGCCATTTTTTCATGCAAACTTGTGAGAAAAGCTGCCCCACAGTTTGCAAGGTGGTACGAAGCACATCATTAATCTGCCAGCTCTCTCTGTGCTGGGCAGCCCCCCTTCTTTCTTTTCTTCCTTTGAAAGTGATGGGCAGGGGGAATGTGTCCCGCAGGGAGGTATCTGTGTAGTATATTAAAAAGCATTTAAACTGCTGCTTCTGGCATTTTAATTTTGTAGAGTTGTATATATTTACTGTTTTCACCATGTGTTTGGGCACCGCATATAAATTTTCAGTTGGAATGCATGATTATGCCTTCAAAAAGTTATATATATCTATATAGCTTATTGATATAGCTTCTGGGATATCAACGGACTCCTGTATGGCCACTGTAGGTGGGAAACTGCTGGCGCAGATAGGATCTTCGGTCTGATCTGGGGAGGCAGTTATTATGTTCTTAATAACTGACAGACCCTACTTCTCCCCTCTGGCTCAACAAATTGCAAGCTGTGACCCAGTTTACCTTTTCCCTTGTAAGGTACAGTAGGAGAGAGAGAAGCTAAGCCAGACTTTAAATAGCCACATCTCTGATTGCTTGTGATGAACAAACAAATTGCCTCCAGGTAACAAGTCATGTAAGTTTTTGTAAACTCAAAAGGGAGTTTGTTCAGGTCATTGATTCATCCCTAGAACTGCTTCCCTCCATGCATCCAGTAAATCAACACTTTGGCTCCTACACTTTGTTCCGTGCAATGACAGTGATTCTTCAGTGAAATTTGGGAATGCAGTTGCCAGATTTTAATCCTCTGAATATTCTGAGGCAGCGATACTGGCTGTGACCTCTGTGTCACTCCCTTTGTTGCTTGCCTTATTGTGCCATACTTTGCCACATTCATGAAGTCGCTTCTTGCATGTAACAAAGTGTGCTTAAGGTGTCACAGGAATCTGTTGCAGTTCCTGCAGCTGACTAAGATGGATGCTCCTGTGGAATTAATAATAATAATAATAATAATAATAATAATAATAATAATAAAGTGCATGCAATGGTACCCATAACTGACAATTTGTAATTGAATGGACTTATCCAAGAACATAACTTTGAGGCTACTTACCCACTCTTCCTCGTCATATTCCGAATGGTGAGGTATAGAATCTTGTCTCTTGATTTGGGATGGATGCTCCTGATTCGACTGATCCCCACTCTCTTCAGCACTGTTCCTTGGCACAGTTGGTTTTTTTAGGACACAACCTGGACGGGCTGTGTATAGAGCTAAAAGGGCACTTCTGATCAGCTGATCCTTAAATGCATGTACAAATAACTCTGTCTAGAATTAAAATGAGTGTGCAGTCAGTAGTAAGCAGGCAACGTACATCTAATTTACAGTATAGCCTGTAGTTGCCACAATGGCGCCAAAGACTAGGTAAGGAAATGTATTTTGTTATCTATTTATATCAACTTCTCTTAGTGCAAGGGTATGCTAAGCTTTTGAAAACAATGAAGTTTTGTGGCACCTTAAGAGACACAAATTCTCTCAATATTTGTAATGCCCCGAAGGGAGCTGCAGAAAATAGCACCCCAATTTGCAAAGGGACACACGGTCCTGAGAAACTTGGCATTAGTCTGCACACAACTATGTGAGGGGAAATCAATTAGTGCAAAGTTGTTGTTGTTGTTGTTGTTGTTGTTGTTGTTGTTGTTGTTGTTTGTGTGTATCTGTGTATCTGTGTATGTATAAGGCACAGTAACTGCAGAAGCAGATGGGACCCAGAATTCAAAAATTGAGAGAACCCCTGGTTAAGCAACAACCAGCACAGGAGAGCCAATAGACAACTTGTGACAATCTTGTTGCCTGCTGTGATTCCATTATTAGCTAATTTCAAAGCATGATAAGAAGCAATGGTCCATGTTGACCGATGATGGCAAGTTTACAGTTCAAGAGATCACATAATTATCAAATGAATAATGTAATGTTTCACCCGTAGGCAAGCCTTTGTTCAATTAAAAGGTGCCTATCCCGAACAACTCTCTAAATTTCACACAGAATTACACACAAAAACCTTTAAACTAGGACACCCACCTTCCTTCCTATTAAATCTCATTTATTTTTCTTGTATCAATTCAATCAACTGCTAGCACTCATCCTTCCTCCTTGTAGACATATCCATAGTGTGTAATAGAGACATCTGATTTAATTATTGCAGTACAAATGTGACATAAATCTCGATTTAGAAGAACATCACATTATTATTTTAAAAAAAACCCATTGAATTCCATTAAAGGCACCAAGGTAAAAGAGTACACCAAAGATCTCCCCCTAAAATGTAGGCCAAAAATAGGGTAAATCTGAGTGACAGCAAGTGCCATTTTTCATTGCTATAGCAGGAAAAACCTGTGAATAAGTTATCTATATTGGTTAAAAACAAAACAGATTTGGGATGTACTTTGAAAACCATGAATCCTTGCAAGTTGTGAGCAGAGACTCTCCAACCCAGGAGGAGGAGTTTTATAATGTAATAGTTTTTGTTAGCTGCAGTTTTCACAGAGAACGTATAAAAAGGTGGATGGGCTGCATGGCACAATCCCACCTACCCTGTTCTTTCTCACTTCACCTCTTTTCCTTCCTTCCTTCCTTCCTTCCTTCCTTCCTTCCTTCCTTCCTTCCTTCCTTCCTTCCTTCCTTCTTTCTTTCCCTCTCTCTCTCTCTCTCCTTACTCCTCTCCTTGCCACCCACATGAAATTAGGCCAAGAGCCAAAGGTTGCGCATGGCTGGTGTAAAATAGATAAAAAAGGAAAAAATTACTTTTGTGGAGTTTCCTACAAAGATTTTATGAGGAAGAGTAGGATATCCATTTTAACAAAAGAATAAACAAAACTAGTTCAAACAATGATACCTACTTTTATTCCCTGTGTATAGAAATCACATTTTTAAAAACAACAACAATTCAGAATGGGGTTAAAACCAAAAAGAGCACGATTTTCCTATGGCAGTAGCCTGAAGCTTGTAACCACCAAAAATAACCTAACATTTCCTCGTGTTAGGGATGCAGAGAGAGATAGTAGCTACGAATTTGGTGAGTTCTGTCTAGTTGTCACTGCAGGGACCATATTTGAATCTTACCGTTTCTGAAAGCATCTTTAAGGAATTCTTCAAGCTGTCTGGCAAATGCTGCCTTGCAGAATTAAGCAGCAGGTCTGCATGGCTTGATATGAGAGGCTGCAGATGATTGATGCTACTAAGAACTTCTTTTGCCTTGGCTGTGTTTTCAGGTGAATAGTAAATACATTGGTACCCAGTACTGCAGAATGAAATAAAGATAATATTTTTAAAAAACACACACACCTGAAAGTCAAAACCCTTTTTCTTTTTAACTTTTAAAGGCCAAGTGGATACTCATCATCAGTGTGTGAAGACTCTCAGAATTCTACAATTATTATGGAAAGGTGTTCTAAAGTTGACTACAACACCTTTATGGGCACTATTTGGAAATCCAACAGGCTAAAGGCTAGGAAACTTTGCTGGCATAGTAAGAGATGGTAACCTTTTCTTTAATGAACGCTTCAGGCACTGCTGCTGAAACTAATTATTCCCTGAAGCTCTTTGAATGAACCGCTGTACCATAAAAAAAACAAAAAGGAAAGAAAGCAGACAGGTTCCCATTCCTACAATTCTAAAGAAAATAAAAGCATATATAATCTCCAGTGACACACTTGACAATCCATAATGAGCCTAAGTAAAAAAAATTCTCACTACCTCCCCCCATTTGTGCAATTACATTTTTTATATTTTTGATAAGTATCCTAAAGTTAATTATTATTAATCAACCACAGTATGCTTTTATCCTCATCACTGTTGGGTCTATGAAATGTTGTTATTTTTGCTATTATTGTTGCTGAGTAGCAATAAAAGGACAGGCCTCTGCCTTGAGGAGGCTATGAACTAAAATTCAGTACAGGGGATATAATACAAGGAGCGGAAGCAGCAGGAGGAGATGATGGCAGATGTGGGGAATTTAGGCTTATTTTTGCTAGGAGATGCTAAGGCATGCCACTGGAAAGAGACTAAGAGCAATCAAAAAGACAACATGACTAATCAGGAAGATCACACGGCTAAAATTCAGGCAAATACCTTACTGAGTCTATTACTCTGTCTCAGTTTGCTGGGGAGAAGAAATAGGTTTGATCCAGAAGTGCTGCTCTTCTGCAAACAGAGCTAATAGAAGATGCATAGCTCAAGCACATATCTTGAGACACTGTGTAAGTGGCTTGTTTTAGGAGATGCATACAGTGGGGTTTAAGTTCTTTTTCCCTCAAGCAATGATATTGTGCTATGCTGGGAAAAGAGCGTCCTCTTGCAGAAGAGCATCTCTGGATACAACCCAGTAAGTACCCACCGAGTCCCAAACATCTTGATTAAAGGAGAAATACTTCCATTGGTCACTTTGTGCACCAAGTTATTCAGAACAAAAGAGTTTTGCACTGCCCATCATTTGCTAAATTGCACAGCACTGGAATGTCAAGTTTATGGGAAAACAAGGAACAGATATGTGAAGAAGCATGGTGTTAAATGGTATGTTGAAAAGTGAGAAGCAAGAGCTTTGTACTGAACTACAAGCCACAAAAAGCCCAGTTTCCAGTTTTAATTTTGCACCTAAAATAACAACCAGTTTAAGGAGAGGAAAACTTGCCTTGTGATCTTCAGAATTATCTCTGGCCAATGACATTTTTAAACAATAAAACAGCAAATTATGTCCGTTTCTTATAAGCCATTGTTTATTAAAATATACTTTCATGACCCTGAGCTTTGAAAAACTGTGTTCACCACTCAGACATTCTGAGTCTGGCACTCCAGGAAGTCACATGGGTCACTTGCCTCTAAAGCTGAACCTGGCAATAATATTAACAGGAAAGGACTGGTAGCAATTTTTCTTCATTAATCACATAGATGTTTCCAGATGGGTAAATCTGCGGAGCTATAATTGCTTACGCCATACATTAATAAGATTGCCACCAGTGATTACCAGAAGTGCTGGTCCTTGCAAATTTGTTTGTGACTGAACTTAACTGTCAGGGGTCCTTTGCCTTTATGTGTGCTATTGTATCAGGTGGTAACTCTCAATTATGTGTACAGTGGAATTTCCCCGGCACCTCAGATGTTAACACCCCCATTCACAACCCTGGTTGTAACTATTGCTAATCACTACTGCACTGCATATCCAAGTACAAAATGTTGTCTAACTTTGATGAAAAGTTGTTGCTTCTAGAAGATCTTAGTTAAGAATTCATATTTTCCAAGCCACCATAGCAGACCGAGTACACCCTGACACACCCCACACCAGCACAATTTCTTGCACTGGTTTGATGGCACATGTTTCGGAGTCCTACAGCCCACAGATTGACACAGCAGGCAATCAGATAAGGTCTTCAGAATATTAACAGAGACTTTAAATAGATGTTAATTTGTTACCTTATGCCAAACTAGGGTTTACCAAAAGCACGCAAATTTGCTGACTTCTGGAGAGGAGCTCACACCTGATGCTTTGCTCCTCCCCAGTCATTTTAACTTACTATGGGCAGCAGCAAAGCCAAGGTTTAGCTTAGCTTAGCATATCATCTAAACCAGGGCTCTTGGTTTAGCTTCCTCCAGACGAACAATCAACTGTAATCGAGACCAAACCTTAGCTTTGGATTGTGTTTAAGGAGGAGAGCATTAAACCACGATTCTAGGTTCAGGCAAAATGCTAAGCCAAACCTTACCTTAGCTGCCATGCCATGCTGAAGTAAAAGGACTGAGAAAGAGCAAAGCAGCTGTGATCTTTCCCTGGGAGTCAGTACATTTGCCCTAAGCCTTGTTTCGGCTTAGTGTCACATGTGAATGTGGTCACTGTTGTGATTTTTTAATAGAAAAAACCAACCACCTCTGTATATTCTTTCTGCACCACATTCTCTCACACACACTGATGTAGGACTTGTGAAATCATTGTAAAAGTCATTTCTGTTATCACCCTTAGATAGAGACAATGTCAAAGCTGAATAAATGTATAATGAGGCTTTGAGTAAAACTAATAGACAAAGCTTTCACTTAAATGGGTTCCAACATGATAGTTGAATGTACTGTAGTTACAAATGAGAAAAAAATGTACACGACAGCAGGAAAATGATGCCATAGTTCCTGAATAAAATCTTACTTATATTGTTTAAAATTTGTCCGTCCCCCCATATATTCACAGAGTCTATAATTATGCTTTTAAAGTAGGCTACGCCTTTCGCTTTTGGATTGTTAACATATGAGTACTGCCATTATTCTGATGTAAGCATATTATTTCAAATAATCATATTGCTTGTTACTAGATTACTTTTAATTTAATGCTGGGTTGTAAGTTAGTGCTACATTATAACACTCAAAGCACAGAGCTGCATAACTTGTAACAGAATCTGAATAAGTGTTATAGTGTTACTGAGTAACCTTCCCCTAACAAATTTTCTAAATATATTAAGAACCGAAGGAAGTTAAACGCCTGGTGTTTAATGATAACATACTATAATTCCATTCCTGCTGTTATGTGAGTAATTCTTGCAAATGATTTAAAATTGTTACCATCTGGAATTGCGGTAAAGTGTCTTACAGTAATTATTGGTGCTACGCAATTCAGGAAATTAAATAAGCTTTGTACAGAAAAGATCATCCCTTCTAGAATATGAAGGCATATACCTCACATGCTGTATTATGCATTAACCCTTTCCTTGACTCCTTCCCCCAACAAACCGTGTGCACCATTGCAAACCCTGTGACTGACACTCAGGAGCATGGTTTAGCAGTCATCAAGATAAGGCTGGCAAAGCAGTAAAGTGATAATGGCCAGCTCAGCAAACTCCTGCAGGGGGTTGCAAAGAATAGGACCTTCTACTGTACGTGTCAGAAGCAAGCCAGCTGGTGGCAGATTAAGTCCACTAACAGCAGGGTGGGATCTAAGCAGCTACCTGAGTCGCTTGGGAAGTTCACAACCATTCTGGCCATTTGGAGTTGATACATAAGAGAGCACTATTAAAAATTGTATTGAACATCTGCAGTGTAAGGAAGTTTTATTAGTGGCTTTCACAGCAACATACAAATCGAGCCACAATTGGGCACGAAGAAGTGGAGAGCTTTGAAAGAACTATCGTTTTAAAACCGATGCAAAGTGTGACAGGACTGTGTGTTGAGCAACATGATCATAATAACCTAAAGTAACCAAAGATTTCACAGAGGTATTCTGAAAGAGCAGGGGGTGGGGAGAGATCGGCAGCGATAGAAGGTCAACCATGAACAGGCTGCAGTCATCAAGGAAGGAGATGACTAGAATACGGACATCAATTTTAGCAGCTAATGCAGTGTGTGTGTGTGCGGGGGAAAGTAACCTTGTAGATGTTTAAAAGAAAGGACAGAATTTAGTCACCTCCTTGACATGTAAAGAGGAGAATACAGATGAAAGTCCTAAATGACCATGGCCTAAATGGTTGCATTTGTCACAGACAGATGAAAACATAGTGCTCCTGACATTAATGTAGAGAGGTGGTTTAGGGGTTATGAATTAATTTTCAGCTACTCTGCTAATGTTTTCCATTTCTGCTAACAGTGTTTTCAAACTCCCTGCTCAAAACTGTTATAAAGGAAGGAAGTTATATCATATCTATCGAGAAATTTTAAGCAGCAACTTACATTAAAATTAGGGTTGACAAGTATTTGAAGAATTTTAAGTTAGTTATCTGCCCTTTAGCTACCTGACTGATTAAACTGAAATAAATGTGTATTGCAACTACTGGTGACTTCTGAGATACTGGAGGAAGGGTGCAAAAACATTAAAAGAAAAAAACACCAACACTTATAGACCCAGATCAGACGCTATTCCTGGTTAGCTGTTAAACCATCATTCAGACACCCAGGAATGAGTGTTTGGCTCCTCCCCTGCCCTCACATCCTGGTTGCCATAGAATCATAGCCTTAGGCAAAATGGTAGGGCAACAACGTGTATTTTAATACATGTGTGCCCACAGCTGAAGGAGGTCTGTTTTTGAGATGAAAAAAGTGTGCATGGATGAGGGAATCAATACACACACCATTACCTTGCTGCATTTTGTTGCTTTAAGAAACTTTTACCCTGCCTGGCTCACATGTTTTAATATTAGAACAACTGCTCAGTTGTATTTTGTCCCAAAATGGTTTTTTTTTAATGGAATGACATCTGGGAAGATAAAAAGAATACTTTTTCTTGCAAGTTCTGAAACTCACAATATCAATTAAATGGGCTTTCTAACCAGTGCTATTAAATTAAACAGGAATTAAATTAGGGCAAGCATATAAAGCAGAAAATATTGTTAATAGGATGAAAGCAATTTTAATAGCATCTTAATATTCAAACTGGAAATTAAAAGATTATTAATAAACATTTTTTAAAAGAACATTTGCTACGACCTAGGTGTCCGAGAGGGTTGACAGTCCTTCTAAGATTATCTGAGAAGAGAATCTCTTCCACTTTTTCTTTTTAGTATTTCACTTCAATTAGCATACAGAGAACAGCTGCTGGCTTTTAATCTATTCACATTATATTCTGTCTGACATCTCAAGGTGTTATTTCTTTCTGCAATCCAGGCCTCAGAGAGGTAAACCAAAACATTTAAATTGTAAAAGTTGGATCAGAAAAATGCTATGTGGCCTCAAACCGTCTTGGGGCTGCTAAATAAACATGTCCATGCAAAAATAAAGTTGTCATTGCCATGGTGAAATAATTTTCCTTATTTAGAATGAAATAGGTCTTTGAAGCTTGGTTCCATATTTCAGACATAACATTAGTGCACCCACAAATCTGGCTATTTTAGGACTGTTTTGTTTTTAAGAACATGAGAAGAGCCCTGCTAAGTCCAGCCTTCTAATCCCACATTGGCCAACCAGATACCAATGAGAAGCTAATAAGCAGGACATGAGCACAATAGCGCTCTTCCCAATTGTGTTCCCTAGTAACTGGCATTCAGAGATATACTGCCTTCAACACTAGAATTAAAACATAGCTATCAGGACTAGCAGCCATTAATAGCCTTAAGTGGCCAACATTAGCCTCTTTAAAAGCACCTGACAAGAAGAAAGTAATGTAGAATTGAAAAGTAAAATTAGAAGTCAGGACATTGTTTTTCTCCCATCATTTCACCAAAGGGAAAAGATCAAAAGGATAAGAAGAAGGCAAAGCTGTAGAGACAGGTGATGGTATCTTCCATTAAGCAAATCGAAGAGACTGCAAGCTTTAAAACTTCATGGTTTGCTTAAATAAATTCTAATGCCTCCATAGGCCATCACCAGAAACTGGTCTGAGAAATATTTTGCATTGTTCTACATTACATGTTCTACATACAAATATGCTATTTGGCAATTTACCACCTCCACCACCCCTCAAGATTAAGTTTGAAAACAAATTAATTTCAGTGTTATCAGCAACCATTTGTTACAATATAATCATCAATTCACTGTTAGAATCTATATTTAGAAAACAATTTATATTCAGGTACTGTAATGGCGACCTGAAGTATTATCAGTGGTACTTCACTGATATTTAGGATACATGACTGAGCATAACAAGTGTTATTTAGCTGGCTACAGAAGCCAATTGCAGTTGCTATAACAATTGTAATAGCCGTTAGGAAACAGCAGCTAATTAAACCGATGATGTGCTACCATGAAAAAAAATTCTCTTGAAGACTGCAGTCTGGAATTAATGACACACCTTTATTAATTTCTATCAGTTTTGTTTGTTCATTTTAATTAGAATTTTCTGTTCCCAACTAGTCCTAAAGTAGTTATTATATGAATAACCACAATTGTCAACATGACAGCAAAAGTTGGTACTTTGAAATAAATCTTTTAAAATTTCCACCCAGCCCAGGGGTCTGCAACCCCGCGGCTTCCGGAGCCGCATGTGGGCTCTTTTTAACACCTTTTGTCGGGGCTCTGCGGGCTGGATACTAGCTGAGGGGAGGAGGCGCAATTGTGTGCCCCGGACACTCCCCACTGTGGCGGGCCGCTGTACTGGCTGTGGATCGTCGCATGGGGGCGGTGCCATGCTTAGTCCACGCCACCGTCCCGACGCCACCTTCCCCCACTGTCAGATTCGGACATTAAGGTAAGAAACAATATATGCAGTGTTATATTTGTTTTTAAATGTCCGCAATGGTTTTTGCGGCTCCCAGTTTGTTTTTTTCTTTGGAAACGGGTCCAAGTAGCTCTTTTTGTCTTAAAGGTTGCAGACCCCTGACCCAGACCATGAAAGTATCATTCAGGCTAGCCCAAAATTGTGTCCTCCAGATATTTTCGACTATAGCTCCTGTTAGCAAACATGGCCAATGGTCAGGATTGATGGCAGTTGTTGAAGAGCACCTAGCTGGCTATTTCTGTCCTAGGTGAACTCCCATTTGAACATAATCACTTTGATCAAAAGTTAAGCACAAAAAGTATTGCATAGGCAAAAGTTAGAGCTAGCCTACTAGATTTTGTTGCCCGAGGCAAAAAACAAAACAAAAAACAAAACAAAAATAAAGATGGCATCCTCCTATTCCCTTTACCAAAGCTGACCAGACTGGTAGGTGAATATGCAACATATGCAATAAGACCACATCTGAGGGCAGCTTTCTGGCACACACAGCTCTGTTCTTCAACACTTAACCGCTGCTGCCTGCCCCTAAGGGGACTGGCTCACTCTACCTAATGGTAAAGCCAGCCCTAGCAGAGAGTGCCCTATGTACTACAAAGCTGAAAGGTTTTGAAAGCAATATACCTAGTTAAATCTTTTTCCTTTTAAAAAAAGATTAAATATGTTGGAGAGGCACATGTAACTCTGTAACCTCACTATCTATTCTGTCAACAGAAAATTGCATTTTGGTACTGTGGCTAAGATGCTGGAACTAGATGTCACTGAGCAACTTGCTCTCTCTCATCTCCATTCAGTTACCCATCTGTAAAATGAGAATAATGGAGGTCTAGTTTTGTAAGCACACATATGGCTATGTGCTCACTTTGTGCATTACTCATAGTACTGCAGATCTAAGCCTGAGAATTACTACTGTCATTAAATGTGATGCAAAAGCATTTAAGCAGCAAGGTTGTTAAATAGGAAGGAACATATAATGTATAAAGTTACGGTCAATATACTTACTTTCGCCTTTCTGCCTCAAATTTATTTAGTAGTTTCTGAAGACCACCATTTTTAAATCCCTGAAAATGTGCTGCAGGGGCTCCTACTGTGATGACATCATAGAGAGCATCTGCAACAGGAACAGATAAATATTGAGATTTGCATACAAATGCATACTAGAGCCTCTGCTTATGATAGTAAGGTCCTGTATTTTGAAGCACTGTTCTGAGATGGCCTGTCCCATTTTGACACCTGCTCCCACCCTGTCCCCTGCTGAAACCTCGTTGACCAGCTATGGCAATGACTTCTGGTGAGATCTCACAGAACTTTCACAAGATCTTGCCAGAAGCTGCCACTCCCACAGGACCCCAGCCAGGGCACCACCATTCAGGATTCCATCACTCAAGGCAACTGCTTCAGTCCGCCTCAAAGACAGGCCAATCCTGCCTCTTCCAGAACATTAATGTAAGTTTACCAGATGTGCCTTGAATATATCTTGTCATTGTATTTCTGGATATGCTCTCCAAACTATATAAAACTGATCTCACCAATCAACTAACTGATTTGGAAGGTATTAACTACTTCTTTTTAAAATTTATTTTTATTAAAGATTTTATTATTTTACAAAAGTACACGCCTTGTCTCTTTTTTCAGGTTGTACAGTCTTACTTACAAATCAGTTACATTTGTTGTGAGACATTAGTGTTGAGTACAGTATAAGGTTGGGGAAGAAGAGAGGGAAGAGGTGGGGTGGGGTGGTGAGGCTTATATTCTTTTGTATAGTGTACGTGTGGGGTTTTGTGTCAGCGTCAGCTGGCTAGGTTTTCTTTCTATTCGTTTATCACATTTCCTTGGTAGTGAGAGGTATTGGGGGAGCAGGGTATGGTTGGTTGTCTGTGGTTGGCTGCAGTGAGATTTGTTTGCAGTTGTGGGGGGGGGGGAGCTTGTTGAGTCAGGTAAGCCAGATTGATTCATACGCTGTTGGTGGGTTCTTGTTGTTGTCTTGTTGGGCTGTGTATGTGATAAAGGGAAGCCATACTGAGATGACGCCTGAATCAAGAGAAAATAACAAAAGTCCTTATTCTTTCTCTACAAAGCCTTGTTTCCATGAGGTGGTGGTAAACAAGCAAGCATGTTCCTGTAATCCCACACAACTCATGAGGACTGAGCTGTTATAGGTCTCCCCAAAAGCTTTTGGGAGGGGGCTGGGCATCACAAATATTGTGGGGTTGGAGGCGGTTGAGTGTGGAGCTGAGCGTGGCATGGCTTCAGTGGCTGGCCATGGAAGCAGGCTGAGCATGAGAGAAGAGGGGCCACCAGCCCTTGAAGTAGGGATGTTTCCCAAAGCAAAGCAACACAATATCTCCTATCAATTTCAGAAATCCCTTCAGTGGAAGAAACGAAAGGTTTTTCATGTTTACCATACATTTTCATTTGTTCCTCATAGAAACAAATTAAGAAACAAATGGAGTTGCATTTGTTTTGTTTTTCATTCGTTTCATTTATGTGTACAAAGAAACACTCTCCCATTCTATGCAACTGTTTTAATATAATAAGCACAGTGGGCGACAGCAATGCTTCAACAGCAACAACATATGCTCCTAGACGTTGGAAAAAAGGTTTAACTGTTTTAGGATATATTTCCAGTTTTACAACAGCGATACCCAGAAGAACTCATTTTTTAGAAATAGGGTCTGAATGTATGTATCAGAATTGTTTTGAAATGTGAGAAACAGGACCAGGCTGAAGGGTGACAGCCTGATGAAATGGCTAGTAATTCTACCCTGACATGTTACAGCTGTAATAGGAATAATAATAGGTCTGGTTACTGTTTGGGTCCCAAATGAGTCTCAGTCCTAGTTGGAGCACTCATGGAGGGGCGTGCAGGGGATAAAGGCCTGACTACAGACCTAAAGGGGGGGACGCGAGTGGCGCTGTGGGTAAAAGCCTCAGCGCCTAGGGCTTGCCGATCGAAAGGTCGGCGGTTCGAATCCCCGCGGCGGGGTGCGCTCCCGCTGCTCGGTCCCAGCGCCTGCCAACCTAGCAGTTCGAAAGCACCCCCGGGTGCAAGTAGATAATAGGGACCGCTTACTGGCGGGAAGGTAAACGGCATTTCCGTGTGCTGCGCTGGCTCACAGATGCAGCTGTCACGCTGGCCATGTGACCCGGAAGTGTCTCCGCGGACAGCGCTGGCCCCCGGCCTCTGAGTGAGATGGGCGCACAACCCAGAGTCTGTCAAGACTGGCCAGTACGGGCAGGGTACCTTTACTTTTACCTTTTACAGACCTAAAGACAGCCCAGTGAATTATGCACAATCTTCTGGCTCAAAAGAATAAAGCACTGAACTACAACCTCCCCAACTATTATCTGCAAATGGCATGCTTTATATATTTGTCCCACAAACCTGCAACTATGATTGACTTGAAGGCGGATCTGATTAAACACTGACCTTTTTTGATCAAGGAGCAATGTTTAAAATGCTCTGAGCATTTCAAAGGAAGAACTGCTGAAATTTAAAAGTCTGCAGCTAATAGGAGTCTGGAAGAAAAACAGTTTCCAGGACAGAACCTGCACCAAATTACTAAGCAGAAAACTGTGCACAGAATATAGCTTACCTTTTAGCCGAGGACTGTGCACATACATTCTCTGCAGATGTAGATTGATTGGAACAAATTCTAGTGTCTTTTCTCCTTTACTGCAGCTTGATTTGAAAGAAGAGCCTGGGAAGAAAAAGCGAAAAGAATCATTATTTGAGGTACCCATGTGATGCTCTGTCTTTCTAAAAATGCCAGAACAATACTTCCACATCGACAGCATTTTAAAATTGCTTTTAATGTGTTGTTGTGCATCAAGGAAATATCGGCTTGCTAACTGTCTCTCTCAGCATGCACCTCAAAAGAAGTTGACAAAATAGCTTTTAATTCACAGAACGAACTAATGTTTGTGTCTCACCCACCGCCTGTGTTTAGTGATGGATGTTCTTAATGGCTAAAAATCAGTACACAGCATGTTTGACGCCACATTTGAACTATATTGTGTTTATAGGTTTACAAAAAGAGGAATGTTGCAGTGAGGAAATGCTTGTGTTCAGGCACAGGGCAAAGGAAGGCACTCCAGCACCCGGTGTGGGGTGCTGAGGGGTGGGGCAAACTGCCCATAGGGGCAGGGCAAACTGTCCGGCGGCGCACGCGTGGAGCGGCACTGTACGGACAGTGGGGGGATCCTCTGCTCGCGGCTGCAGTGGCGCAATGGTGGCTGCTCGCATCGCCATGCCTGGGGGTGGTGGGGTGAGCCACCCACGGGGTGCCTTCTTGTCACCCCCCCCCCGAGATGGCACCTGGGGAGGACCACCCCCCTCCTCTGCCACTGTGTTCAGGGTTCCATTCCAGCCCCAGCCCCCCGTTTTTGTCCCTCACCCCACCAACAAACACCTTATTCATTTGTCCTTGTGCTGCTGTTTTGGCTGCATAAGACCAGGCAATTTCCACATAAGTTCAGACCCCTAGGAGCAGTCAATCACCTTGCCCAAGAATGGTTAACTGAAGTCTTATGCAGTTAGTTACACCACTCCAGAAAGAGAGGCCAGAGGATGTGGACAAAACAGGCATAATGATTGTTCACATGTTATTAACTCAAGATATGTATTTCCAAGCAGAACCTATGTATCACACTACCACAGGCATTCACATATTCCCTTACTACTAAGGGGTGCCTTGTACGCCTCCTTCCAGCGACTCTGGCAGCAAAGCTGGTGTTACACGTATTGCTCCACTTTCCTTTGGACAACATCAGCAGACTGGGGGGGGGGAGTAATGTCATTTGGGCAGCCCAGGACCTCCATACACATTGGCCAGATGCGCACCCCGGGAAGGTCACTTCGGTGCTGCAAACACAGCAGTTTGACTTCACCGCGGGAGGTGCACTCCATGGTCTCTTGAGACAGGGAGATGCCAACAACAAGGAGTGGTTGATTTGAGTCTGGCTTGGAATCCCCAGACCAGAAACCACCTGAGAACTTCAATGCAGCTCTGACTGCCTTTAAGAAGGGATGGATACAAAGTAGTGTGCGTACCTGTGTATGTACATGCACACACATGATTAAATTTTCTAGTTATATGTTTGGTGATATAGGATATTTCTTCCGAGGATTTTTCAGGGAAAGTCATGTGTTTAAATGTATGGTGTGCGCACAGCCTGAGACTGTAGGTTTTTCTGAACTTTATTTTCAAGGCGTTCAAATAATTAAGGACTCTCCAGTTCACTCATTCAGATCTCCTCGTTGTGAGGGCAAGTGAAAGCAGTATGAGGAGGGGAGCAGCATACATGCTCAAGGGCCATTCCTGAACTCTTCAGGAGTTGGGTGGCAAGGATATCAACTGAATGGCGCCCATGCCACATAGCTGTGTAGAAAGCACCAGATCATTACTTCAACTCTTCAGTGAGAACAGTCTCATACCTGTATACTTCCCAAGTTCTGCAAGCATGTTTTGGTAGAGAGTTAACATTTGATCACAGTGTGAAATAACACTTTTCCGCATATTGTCCCAATGTGGAGCAAGTTCCCCGAGTTCATTAAGGTCCTGATTCCTGGGATGGAAGGAAAAAGAAAGTCACAGCATCAGTCCCATGACACAAAAATATTCAGCTACTACTGAACGGTTCAACAGGCAATTAAATTGTTACAATCTTTATTGGTACACATACACCACCATTCTGCAGTTCAACTGTATAGCGCATGCATCACATACATAAGAACATAAGAAGAACCTGTTGGATCAGGTCAATGGTCCATCTAGTCCTGTTCTCATAGTGGCCAACCAGATGTCTATGGAAAGCCAGCAAGTAGGACATGAATGCAATAGCAACCTGCCCACCTGTGATTCCCAGCTACTGCTTTTCAGAGGTATTCTACCTCTGATAATGGAGGCTGTCCCTGTCCAGGAACAGTTGTAGCTGGCAAAACAGCCAAATGCATCTGAGCCATTGGAGCCACCGAGACATCAAGAGGCAATGCTGGATGGACTACTACCAAACCAAATGCTCCATGGACAGAGAGTACAACCCTATCCAGAGCAGGATGAACATCTATTTCCCAGACCCAAAAACCACCCACCTACAGTGCCATCACCTTTTCAGAATTCATCTTCATCCAGCCCACTACCAAGTCCAGACACAAACTGTCCAGACAAAAGTCCTTGTTATTGTGGTGTCTGATGGCCTTTTATGTGAGAATGAAGCATGGTTAATATGTCTAGAAGAAGAGAGCCCATTCCATTGGTCTTAATTTATTATTACTTTTACTTAGCCCAGTGGCATGGGATTGCAAATAATCACATTCCATGTGAAAATAACTTCACCTGTACTGTGTGAGGCAGTACAGCTCAACAGCTGGCAATATAAACCTGCTGTGTGTTGGAATCCCTTGCAGACAACTGCAGTGCCTGGAGACAGTCAGGTTATGTATCCACAGCCATGGCCAGAAGTGGAATGGCTGCTGGAAGGAGTGCAAAGAGAAGAAACACCATGGTGCATCTGCAGCAGCACAGCCTTCATCTCCCCCAGGTGCAACAAAATATATCTCTCCCATACTGGTCTCTACAGCCACATTGGGCACTATAACTTCAACAGTTTGACTTCAGCACCAAAGATGCACTCCTCTGTTGTCTCCCGAGACAGACAGATGCTAACAACTGCATGAGTAACATTGTTTTATACTAAACAGAAAAGGAAAACCTAATTAAAACATTAGCTTAAGCAAAAATCCTATTTTCCTTTTTAAACATATCACACCAGATACATTTCTGACCTCTTTCATCTTTATTCTAAGTGAAAATGTCAGTGTCATGGAAAATCATCCTGTCGCCGATATTACAAAAGGAAATCCTTTAGCGAGTTTCCAGTTTTCCTGTTCAGTCTTCTGGAAGCTGACCTCATCTAGTGCTGCCTGAAAGCATATGACAAAGTTTTGCTGCTAAAGCTGACAATTTGGTTGTGTACTTGCTTGCTACATTGACTACAGAAGTCTGCAGAGTCTTCCCCTGTAACTGGATGAAATTCAGTTGTGGACATCCTATGATGTAGACAAAACAGTTGGAGCCGAATGCCCTACAATTAGCCTTTTGCTAATTCAAATACATTTCCAAGGTAAGAAGTGGTCCTTGATACTGAAAAGAAAGCATGTTTGTAAGGTTGCTGTTTGTGTGTGTGTGTGTGGGGGGGAGAATACATTGTGTAACTGCAAACTAATCTCTAATCAGCCTTTCCTACCAGAGTGGTTAAATGGGCACCACCTTACCAGTTCAAAGCTGAAATGGATTCTCTTGATCTACTTCCATATGGATTTAGTAAAACTGTCATCAATATAGATGACTAAGTAGATAGTCTTAGTCACCCTTACAGAGGACCTCTATCAGAAGATAAATAGGGGGAATGTGACCATGATGATTCTAACCTTCAAGAAGGGTCTGAGACTAGTGTTCTGCAGGGGTGTTGTGGGATGTTGATATATAGGAGTCATCACTTTGAATTTGGAGAATGAGGAGGACCTGGATTAGAAGTGGCCATGGTGGTAGCAGTATTTTCTTATGCTATGATGTTTTTATTGCAATCTATTTCAGGGACTCTGCCACCAAAGCAGTATATAAAATCAAGTACAATGGGGCTACTTTGTCGCTATCTTCGAACTTGATGGAGGGTCGGCGGGGCGGGGGGATTTGCTTTTTGCTATTATTTACTTCATTTGTAAATACTTCAAATATTACAAAAGCACCATTAGCTTGCAGTGCTCTCTCATCCAAAGGAAACTAAATCCTCTAGCATAGTCCTTGGACTTGACATCACTCAGGGAAATGGGAAACACTTAGCAAAACACTTATTCTCCAGGAACTAGATGCCTTGGGTCTGATATATTTGAAGGAATATCTTCTTCAATAGGTAGGTTAGCATGTCTCCAGAGATCTTTTAAACATTTACTAGAAAAACAAACTTATTTCAGGGAGGCAGCCACTCAGGTATGTTCATCACATCCACACAATTGCAATATTTAGGACATACCTATTAAGGTATTTCTGTTCTCCCAAGCCTGCTGATTTTTCAATATGAAAACTGTCTAGTGCTTAGGTATTGTACTATATACATATTATCTTATTGTTAGTAACAGTTTTATGGCCTTTTATTATATCTTTCTTCATTTTGCTCTGACAGCAATAGGGCCAGGATCCTTCCAAATGGGTCCGCCTACCTACTGAGGTCTTCGGTACAGATCCTTCTGTGTATCCTTAAGTTGGGCCCAACTCAAAGCTACAAACATGAGTCTGACCAAACTGCGGGAGGCAGTGGAGGATAGGAGTGCCTGGCGTGCTCTGGTCCATGGGGTCACGAAGAGTCGGACACGACTAAATGACTAAACAACAACAGGCCATCTATGTCCCTGCACTAAACCTCTAGAACATCCTCTCAAAAGCAGCTTCTCTTGCCCTGTCTTTAATAGCATTCTAGCATGTTGTTAAAACCTTCCTCTTTAGGAAGGCTTTGGTAATTTATTTTAACTTGTTGGAAGCTACTGTAGTGAAACAGCTTATAAAGCTGCTGCTTTTATTGTCTTATCCTTTTAGTCTGTTATTAGCGAGCGTTGGTTTTTTGTTTTTTTACTGTTATACTTCTTTAACAGTTTTAATTTAATTGTTGTTAGCCACTGCGAGCTCTGCTGAGGATGATGGAAGTGTTGGGATGCCGTAGAGGGAGATGTGTCTGCATGAGAAAGAGTAGACAGACAGAGTAATCTCCAAGTTTCCTAGACTGTCCTTTCTGACCTAAAATATGCTGTCCTTCCCTCAGATGCTGGACCGATATTCTTAGGGTTGCTGATCACATTTTCTACTTCCATGTTCTTCATCCTCACCTCGGGAGAGGAAGCATCTGGCTGAGAAGCAAGAACAAGCATGGCTCAATGAATCTCCCCCTTATTTATACAGAACTAGGAATCTCTTATTTTTCCTAAACTCAGAATATCTGTGTGATTATACCCAGAGTAAAGTGTGCTCCTTCAAAAGGGATCCAGTATTTAATTCAACTTCTGCTGAGTGCTTGAACTCCAAATGTCAACAGAGAAGAGAAAATGTTTAAAGTAAAATAAAAACCAAAGTGTAAAATTTCCTCCCCCTGCTGTGTGTGTGTGTGTATTAAAGCTAAATGGGTCTGAGTCTGAGCTGTGTCAGGATAGGATACTGTTTGAGGATCACATGAATCCTAAATAACAAGTTTTATACAAAGTTTGCCTGCATTTGGAAGTTACATTCTCAGAAGGCCCCCTTCTTAAAGGTTAATCTGAAATCAGGAGCAGGTGGCTAAATGTTGCATAAAACAGTGAAAATCCTTTTTGTATAAGTGCTAAACCCTTCATTCAATGCAGATGCATGCTGTTCTCATTAACTTCTACTGGGAATCATTTGCATATTTTTGAAGGCAGACTATAGCTCTCAATATCTTCTTAAAGCACCCCTTCCATGATCACTTTACTAGATTTAGATCTTAAGCTTTGCATACTGCTTGGTTTGCATATCCCAGTAGGAGCGGGTGAATCTGTATGCTTGCAGGATTTCTTGCCATATTGTGAAATAATGGATTAGAAGAAATAACACATGCAGTGGACTGAGGGTTTCATTGGAAATAAAACTTGGCTATTAAAAATACTTAGAAATGGTATTTTTGATTGAGCTGGTTTTTAGACATAGCAGCATGGCAACTTGAAATGTATCTTTACTTTTTTATTAATTATATGTGGTTATAAACCATACAGGTAGCTCCTATTAGTTGTGTTTCCTTGCAGTGTTAATATAACAATCAGCTAAGGTTAAAGAAAAGAAGTATAGTTAAAGCTATGATGTTACTCTCTTAATGACTTAATTAATTTCATTATGTTTAAGCATATGCCTGTGGCAAGATTAATGGATTGATGACTATCAGAAAGCCCTATTTACAATCAATAACTTCCAACATTGAAAATAAGGATTGATGCTCTGGGTCTTTGGAACAATGTAATTAAACTGCCCATAGGCTTTTGTTATGTTAATCTGTTCAGCACTCATTCACACTGGCTATCTACCACAGAAGTTACAGTCTGAATTTGATGTTTGCATAGGATCACTGATATCAATTGCATTCAGATAATTATGATACTTATGATGAAGAAACATTATTAGTGTGAGCTAAGTAAAACTGTAGTTCATAGCTTCATAACTCATTATAGATAAAGAAGGAAAGATAAGGCTGCAATCAAAGTCCATTTTAAGCCCATCTATTTATTTATTTTAAAAATGTACAGCCCATTTTTACATGTGGCTATAAAGTGTCTTACAAAGAAAAAAAATAAAACATAAACACCAGAAAAATTCATGTTGCAAAGATCTCCTCAAATAGAATGGTTTTGACCTGACGTCTGAAAGTCTGTAGAGAGAATTCCTGCCTGGTTTCTATTGGGAGTGGGTTCTATAAGGCTAGGCCCACAATACTGAGGACATAACTCCTTGTTGATGAGAGTTCTGTTTCTGGACCACGGAAGAGGGTAACACCACCAAGCCTTTCCCTGTGCGGAGTCTAGCTGCCATTATGCCAGAGGGGAGAACTGTGTGGACATTGTCCTGGCCTGGACATTGTCAGCAACTTTTCTCCTGGATCTGATCTGGGGGCTTCAGGGAAGGGAGGGACTGCTCTTTATTACATGCCAACAGCAAGAACCGCCACTGACATCAGTCGTAACCTTAAGAACCTGCGCTTGAGCTTGCTTTTTCCCCTTTCATATGTGTTATGTCTTTTTAGAAGTGATTTTTGTAAGCTACTCTGAGGCTGCATTCACATGCGAGGCTTATCCTGTTCGTTTTACTGATTATAAGGTTAGCACTTCCATAACGTTCCTTTCCCACTGAAGAACTGATACATCACCATTTCGCTCTTCATTGCACTTACACCAGTAGGTATTGCAGTGTGAAGTGAACGTTAGGAAACAGGAGAGAAGCACTACCCTTATAACCATCCCCTCCACTCCACAGTTGTTGAGGGGGAGAGGGCAATCCGGGCTTCACAACTAGAGGATCATGGGATGGGAAGGGAGGCAAAGGGTGGCTGGATCAGGCTGCTTGTTCATTCTGGGGAGGGCTGCTTTTTCCATGGACATTTCAAGTTTGACAGTAACAGTGAGCTGGAGAGAAAGGTATATAGTACGCCCAAGATTTTCCGAGCTAAGAAAACTGCAAAAAATTATCCTGTATCTGGAACACGGAAATGAGGGACAAACACATGCAATATTCTATTACATCCCATTGGTTTTCCAGAATGGCTTTTATGTCATGTGAAAGGTCAAACATAATGCACAAAGTTAACAGGGAAACATCAGGAAAATGAATAAACTGCAGTCTGAATGACACCGGAGAGCTTTTTTTTGGCTAAAAGGCAGGGCATAAATGTTATAAACAAACACAGTAATAAATGAGCAGCACAAGGCATTTACAATCTAGCTCAATTAAAATTAAAACACTACCCTTTACAACATTAGATTTGTATTTAGCTTTTTGTTGCCTCACATTTGGCGAACTGTCTCTGTGTATTTTTAGAGACCTCATTTATTATATAACTCCTGGCTACAGGCCTCAGCTCCATGCCAATAAACAACAGAAGTCTTAACTTCCCAGTAGCTGTGAGGATCCCCTGAGGCTCAAACTACGGCCCTTCCTTTCTCCATACAGCTGCCCTGCAAGATTAGCTATCAGAACCGCAGCTTGGAACCTCTTTCTGGCAATGAAATATTCTGACACTCTGGACTTGCTTCACCCACTTTCTGCCCATTGGACCCAAAGGCCTTCTGCTGCAACTGGGACTTTGCATGAGCAATAGGGTCTTAGTGGCATTTCTGTGCAGTGGTTGTCGGTGACCATTGGAACACGTATGGCAGAAGGCAGGGAGGTCAACAGTAGGTGGAGCTGATGGTATATTTTAAGCACATGGCTTCCCCCAAAATAATCCTGGGAACTGCAACTTGTTAAGGGTACTGGGAAATGTAGCTCTGTGGGAGGTAAGCTACAGTTGCCAGGATTGTTTGGGGGAAGTCACAGGTGCCAATGTGCTTTAAATGTATGGTGTGAAGGCAATGGATGATGGGCAGAGCCAATGGCAGGCAGAAGTTACTCCTTCCAGCTTTGTCCCCATTCTCTTCCCTGCTGAGTTTTATGAGGGAAATGCTGAGATGAAACTGATAGCTAGTGTCACCTCTGGGGCTGGTTGGAAGTAAGAAGGCAGGTAAGCAGGTGGGAGCTGGCCGAGGTTGGTGGGGCAGTGCCCCCCTTGCCCTAAGAGGCCAGCCTCCACCATTCCTCTCTGGCTTCTGACTTTGACCAATGGCTCAACTCCTGACTCCCAGCCTCTGGGCTCACCTGTGGCAGCTGCTCAGTCCCAACACTGGCAGACTGAACAGGTTGAAACTGTGTGGATTCCTAGCAGTGAACACATGGATTTCAGTCAACTTCTATTACCAATGTTATAAAGACAGTTTTATAGCTTGCTTTTACTTTTTCATGCTGTTTCCCTTACCTTCTCATATCCTCCTTTATGTGCAGGCTGATGAGTTCCTTGGGAATATGAAAAGAAAGAGTGCTCTCAGACATCTGTTCTCGTACACACATCCACTTGTTGTCAGAAGTGGGGAATCTATATAACTTACAGATCGGGTTTTTTAACACTGCAAAAGGAAAAAAATGATGGGGTTGCTTAATCGCAGCTATATTTTTGGTTCAAAAGCTATCACAGTGGTTTATTAGCGAAATAATTTATCTCTTTCTCGCTGTATTTTAAAAATTAAACCCCACAAATAAATCTATTCTGCCTTTAATTTATTGTTATTATTTAATTTATTTCAATAAATTAAAGGGAGAGTCCCTTAAGTTATGCTACCCAAACAAAAGACAATTAAATTCTACTTAGAACACTAGATGCTGGATTTATTACTTCAGCTGCACTAAGATTAAAAACTCAGGACTACTGGCACAGATTCCTAGGATAAAAGAACTTGGCTGAGAAATAAACAGTGAAATCTCAACGAGCAGCTGATGACATTATGATCATGTGTTATGAATGATAATATTCTCCTGGCTCCACATCCATTGTTGTTTTTTGTTTTGCTTTAAATAAAATATACTTCATCTTTTGAAGCACTTTTGTGGTGGTTCAGCTGATTTCTTTTTACTAGCCGGGCAGATTCATAATGGTCTCATTACATAGAATCTCATTATACTTTCCAAAATTGTTTGATAAAACTTGCTATGCTGTAGATAAACAATGGAAATGGTATGTTTCATCCACAGAGCCTTGCCAGCAGGGCTAATTCATATATTCAAAAGTTGGGAAATTAATTCAAGGCATTAGATTTGGAATCCTTTTTCCTTTGGCCATGGGCTTGCAAGTGCTATAGCAACTATGGGAGATAACTTCCCATCCATTAGCAAGCTCTCACTAGCAAGCCTGTTTGGACAACACAGAAAGCTAAACCATGGCTTACCAGGGCTACATGAATGTGCTGCAGAGGAGCCCACACTTGCTTTGGTCTTCCCCAACCCTTTCAGCGTAGTGTGGCAGGGCAGCTAAGCCAAGGTTTGGTGCAGCCTATCATCCTGGCTAACCTCTTTCCCCCTTAACCAGGAACTTAACCAGAAAAGGCTGACGCCAAGGGGAAGAAGAGTTTAACATCAAAGAGAAAGCTATTTTGATCATAGTTAGAGTCTGACAGACTTAGGGTAACTACACAAACAAGCACAAACCCGTATAAAGCATGAACCAAGCTTTTTAGTCCACAAAAGCTAGCCAAGGTGCTTCTGAGCTACAACTGGTTTGCATAATATTATGGTTCTGAAATGTCTCTGAACCTAGGGTAGTCAGGTTAGGAGCACATTTCAGCCACATTTCAAACTTATTTCTACTGTGATTTTTATGCAATTACTGAGAGAAATTTATTTACTCCTTTTTTCTGACTCAAGTCCCCTAATTATTATGAGGATTGTCTGCTAGGTGTATATTGGTCAAAATCTATAAAGGAGAGCTTGTTTACTGGCAACACACTGATTGTCTCTTTAGCCTAACCTACCGCACAGGGTAGTTGTGGGGATTAAATGAGGGATGGCAGAACCATGTATGCCACCTTGACTTCCTTAAGAGAAAAAGGTGGGATATAAATGCAATAAACAAAGAAAGAAAGAAGTTAAACTACAGGCTGAATTGGCTCAATTCCAAACTGCAGCAGGACTGTAGGTCAATTATTCAAAATCTCAGCTGCTATGCTTGAATATCCCTTGGAGGGACCAACAGTGTTTAGCAAATATAGGCTTGTTATCTCTGCAAGACACATATTTTAAATATCTGGGCATATTAGCTACTAAAGATTAAACAACAACTAAAAAGGAATTACGGCCCTCTCATCAAATGTCTGAAGTGTGAAATCAAAGCTCGGTAGGTTCTCGTCTTCGCTAAGGCATATTGCAACCCTTAGAATGATGCTTTTACTGAAATTGCTCTATTTATTTCAGGTGTTGCCAACAAATCTCCCTCTTTCTCAATTACAGGGGTTGAGGGCTTTTGCCACAGGGACAAAAGAGCCAGATTAAGGCCTTCAGTTCTGTACACTAAAGCACAATGTGGTGGTTATGAGATTCCTATTCTCAGACTTTATCGTGAGGTGAGCCAGTTACATCAGTTATTGTCGCTCCTCAAGAACCACACAGACCACACAAGAACCACGTGGATACCTATGGAGTAACAACTTAAGCAAGTGATGCTCTTTTGCTCTCTAGTTACTTAAGGCTTGAATAACCTCTTCCTAGGTGTTGCTCTGAAGGTGTGGAGGGGATAGCAAAAGTGGCTAACTCCCGAAATCTGGTGCTTAATACTAAGGACTATCAAAAAAACCGGCAGAGAGGAATTGAGAGAGAATTAAGAGCCTTGGACGTGAGATCTCCAGGCTGATAGTTGACTAAGACTGATGGACATTTGTGGGGGATTGAAACCGGGAAAGGGGTGGGGGGGAGTTTGGGAATCCAAAGGGTGCATAATTATAATCTGTCTTTCTTTTTTTTATTTGTTTTGTTATTAGTATGAAAATTGGGGAATTCGTGGAAGGGAATTTGGGTCGACTTTAGAAAAAAGTTTTAAGAATGAGCACTGAAGTACAAATATTGATGTTTATAAGGCAAAATTGGTTTCTTAAAATGAACTAAATATAAAAAGGTTAAAAATTGGGGATAAGAACTTGTTGAACTAACAATTTGAATTGGAATATAAGAAGGGGAGGTGTGGGGAAGTCAGGGAAATATGTTATAGAAAAATAAGGATTGTAAACTGTATGTGTTTTTAAATTTTTCTTTTTTTGTTTTCTTTTTTGACTTTTTAATGTACTAAAGCGGAAAATCTTAAAAAATATCTTTAAAAAAACAAAAACAAAACAAAAGTGGCTAACTCCCTTGCTGTCTCCTCTCCACCCCGGGAACAATAAAAATGATGAGTTAATTTGAAAAGGACGAACTTTTGCTGCACAACCAACTTCTATCCTTACTACCAGATACTAGAACACAGTTTTACAGCTTTACATGTGGGTAGTTAGAGACTTGCACGTCCTTCAGGCTCTGTCAGATCTTTGGCTGCTTTTCAAATGTTGGGCTCATCCACACTTCCGTTTGGTCCATGACTTCTAAACACAGGCCTGAGAGATTTTTTTCTTTTGTCCCACTGTTTCCCTCAGGAAAACCCACTGTTTACTGCTGAATCAGAGAAAATGTCAATTTAAGGGATGTATATGTGTGGATTGACACGTGTTGATTCAGCGGTAAGCAGCAAATTTTCCTGGGGAAAGTATTGGGACACAGGAAAGAACTCTTGGACCGGTGCCCAGAAGTCATGGACCAAGTGGAAGAAATCATGGGACAAAGGGAAGTGTTGGATGAGCCCCATCTTTGCAGCAGTCTGTTTGCAGGAAGGGCATCACCTTAGCCCAGACATAGGCAAACTCGGCCCTCCAGGTGTTTTGGGACTACAACTCCCATCATCCCTGACCACTGGTCCTGTTAGATAGGGATGATGGGAGTTGTAGTCCCCAAACATCTGGAGGGCCGAGTTTGCCTATACCTGCCTTAGCCTATTGCAGGATCCTAGTTCAGGTCCTTTCTATGGGTTCTCAGAACACCAACCCATTACATCTGCTCTCTGAAACAAATAGCCTCACTAACCTATTGTAACATTACTCACTCCTGTGGGACATAATGTTTCCTAACTGCTACTGACCCACATTTTGATCTATGAAATACATACAAAACAAAAAGTTACTAATGATTCATATACACAGCTAAAAAATGAAGTTCAAAGAAAACTTCTGACTAGAGAAATATATATATTTTGTGTTGCATCAGTTCAGGCAGCACAGGTTTCTGGAAAGGGGCAACAAAAAGGCAAGATCATCAGAGGCGGCCCACTTCCTCTGACATGCCCATTACCTTTGTAGAATTTTGTTCCTTTCTTTTTTTAAAAAAAAAATCACATTTTCATAACACACACATGTAGAGAAAATATATTATTTTAATTTTAAGATTCCAGCTTTATATATGAATAGCAGTAAAAACCAAAATGTCTCGAGATAAAAATAAAATAGTTAAAATAGAGCATCTATGAGATTAACCATTGATACCTCATTCCCACTCTGTCACTACTTCATAACTCACTTGGAGCTGGAGCTCCATATATTAAGAACGCTCAAGAATAATGCCAAGGGCCTTTAAGCTTTAGAGATTTTTAAAAAAACAACAACACGTGAGGAATGTGTCCCCAGTCCCCTATCTACTTCCAGAATTGTAAACAATACAATAAACTGTTCAAGACACTGGAATGCAGAGTATAAACACAATAACTCTCGGTACGTATGGCCAGCTACTGCTGTAATTCCCGTCTTTCGATACATATACAAAGGTAAATACATTTCAGGCAAAGCAGAACAGATGGGAAATGCATATACTGTATCACCTGGATACAATGATAAATTACAGCACAGGTCAAAGCTAACTGCTAGGAAGGAATTTAATTACGGCTGCAATAATGGTCTGCATGAGGGACAATAGACCAAAGCTGAAACCAGGCAAATCAGAGGTATTTTGGGTGGGTGGTTCATCAAAGGAGTGGTGTAAATCCTGTGCTAAACAGGGTTGTATTCCTCATGAAGCAACAGGTTTGCAGCTTGGGGGTACTCCTTGATTCATCTTTCACCCACTGGAAGTGCAAGATGCTTCTGCAACATTAAGTACGTGTACTTTTACCAGCTTAGGCTGGTATGTCAGTTGTAAACCTTACCTAGAAAGACAGAGCCTGCCCTCAGTTAGCTGTGCAATGGAAATATCCAAGTTAGACTCCTGCATGTGCTAGTTAGACTGTTGAGAAACTGCCGTTAGTGCAGAATGCAGTTTTTAGATTGCTAAAAGGGACTGGGGATTATTATTGCATTACGCCTCTGTTACGTCAGTGACACTGGCTCTCAGTCTGTTTCCTGATTCAGTTCAAAGTGCTGGTTCTGGTCTTTGCACTACATGGCTTAGGGCCAAGGCACTTAAAGGACTGCCTGTCTTAAATGTACCTAGCCATACACTAAGATCTTCAGTGAAGGGTCTGCTGCAGGTATCTCCACCACTTGAGGTGAAGCAGGTACCCACCAGGGAGGACTTTTCAGTGGTGGTACCCCAATCATGCCCAAATAGGTTGTACCCAAAGAGGTTCATCTGGAAAGCTTGTATTGGCAAAAACCTTTTCATTTTCTTAAGTTTTTTAGATGCATTTATAATCTGGCTGGCTGTTTTATGATGCTTTTGTGGCTTTGTGGCCTTTTAGTTTATTATGTTTTATTTATATTTACAGTTTAATTGTATGACCTATAATGAATGAATGAATAAAAACTTCTAACTCTCTTAGAATTAACATATCCTCAATATGGATCAAGTTCTTGTATGGTGCTAATTTATGGAAATATTATTCAATTTGAAGTTGAATATTACCCAGGAGCCAGGCTGCTGAAAAACACTGGCTCATAAATGGGTTTTTGTTAGAAACCATATGAGCACGGGGGTCACCTCCTTTCTCATAATTATATACATGTAGCATAGTGTTGAACATTAATTATTTCCATCATTATAGACTTAGCACACCTACCTGCATTTAATAAAGGTAAATTGTCTTTACTACTGGTGTTTTCTGGAGATGTACACTCATAAACCAAGGCACACTACAAAACAAAGGTTAAAACATTTAGAATGTTATGTGAGTATTCATCATATAAAGTCTAAAAGAGTCACAGAACACACTGAAATTGGCACAACATACAGCAAGTATACTCCAGCCCTCTTCAGGTCTGAGGGCAGCAAGTGATCATGTGTGCATACAAAGTCAGTAGCAGATCAGAACCATGCATGCTGGTTCCACTTCAACATTTCCTTTGCACACCAGCCCTACCCCTTCACTCACAAACTTTGCACAAAGATCTGAAGGGGGATTGTAAGTACATTCAACTAGAAGCACTTATAAGCCTCCTAGTGCTTGGAAAACCTGGTAAGGCAGTTCAGCAACTGAACTCATAAACTTTCTCAGATAAATTATGTCAGGCTCCATTACTGTGCTACAGAATGTTCCATTCAAAGCATCCAAAACCCTCCAACTCACTATGGAGCTATAAGAAGGGTACTTTGAAATAGGCACTCAGAGACACATTCATTTTGTCTTGTTTCACCAGTCCCTCATTGTTACAGTGTCGTGGCTCCATTTGTTCCCAATCCATACATATATATTTTAATCTCCATCCCCTCAGCCTCCAGGGCTAATTCATAGCTCACATTCATTTTCCTCCTTGTTCACTGAAGAAAACATGTTTTGAAAAAGTCATTGGCAGGATAAGTGGCCTCACTTATGTTGTTGAAGTATATCCTGGGAATCAACATGTTGGGATTTGATATCATGATTTCCCCTATTACATTGTCTGAAAGATAATCTTCTTAAACCAATTTAAAAACATTACGTTTTTACCTACATAAAGCTGCTGTGTCAAGTCAGGAGCACGAAGGAGATGGCAGCCAATTGTCTGAGAGAAAGACAACTGTCCATAACTTTCTTGCTATTGTATCAATCACAGAAGTGCATCTTAAATCAAGTAGAATGTTCCCTAAAACAGGAAGAACTGGAATTACCCTCTTCCTAGGACTGGGTGAAATGCTCAGATCCCTTTCCCAGCCTCGTACATATACTGTGAAAGTCGGGAAAGGCATTCAGTGATTGGGGGCTAGGGAGAATTCACCAGCATTCCTGCTAGCCAATTTTAAGTGCCAGAACTAGAGAATGATTACTCTGTCAATTTTGGAGTCTCATTTCACCCAAATCTTAAATTTAGTTTACCCCATTTCCACTTAAATTTACTGTTAAAAGAAGTTCACACAAAAATGTGGGTGTACTTTCATGTGTATTTCTTACAATATATGTACACAGTGTTCGAAACTCCCATTGTTCTAGGCGCATTTCGCGACGGAATTACATTAGCACGAGCAGTTTCTGAGCTCTGGGGGTGCAGTACTGCACCTAAGATTTCAAGATTAAAACTGCAGAGTGGAAGGAAAGGAGGACCTTTTTCTGTCTCCCCACTTCCAACGACTCTCTGAAGACTGGAGAAGAGACCCTCTTAAGAATATTAGTGGGGTGGGCAGGCAAAGGACTAGACCATGTGAAAAATGAACACAATATTTTAGTGGCAGTTCATTCATTTTCAGCTTTGTATTCTTGTTATAAAAAAATCGTGCCTAGACATTCTGTGGTTGTGCCCACAACCCAGGTTTAAGGTGCCATTTAGCTCCCGGCTTTAATGTCTTAGTTTCTAACACTGTATGTACATATATGCACAATGTTGTCAATTTATGCAACATTTTTACAAGCAATTTCCCACTAATAGAATGCATTTTTGTACATGATCTTCGCTGATTATTTTCATATGCATTCTTTGGTTGGCTGTTACAAAATTCAGTGACTTGTCAATTTCAAAGGAGAGCTGTGTTTTAGTTTGGGAATTGGTTTAGGAAGTGCAAATTTGCTCAGTGAATTTCTCTCCCATCCTTACCTACAATCCCCATTGGAACAAAATTAAATATTGAAAACACTTTTGCTGCTGATTCTGTAAAACAGGCAGCAGATATAAACAAATGAATCCAGGGAGGCGACTTAATTGCTATGTCTTCTCCCAACCCCCCTTGCATTCAATGTGAAAGTTTCGGGCACATGACAAATTTCTACTGCATCTTCCTATTAAGATTGACATGTCACCTGCAATGCATTATATGGAATTGAAAACAATTCATTTCAGATCAAAGGTAACAGTAACAAAGAAAAGAGTCAGGGGTACATGTTTCAAAGGAGGGTTATTGTTACAATAAACCAGAAGTGGATTACTCAGAATACTCTGAGCATGTCACGTATATTTTTCATTAGTTCAGGAGCACAATGTTGCTTTGCTATCAACTGAAAATCATTGTCATTACAATTAGAGATTTATTCCATACTTGTATTTTCTAGCACAGAAATGATTTTTAGGCAGGTTCACAACACTTGTTTCAAATACAGTGAACATTGCTCACATACAAACTCCATTTTTTTAACCACTTCAATTTTAATTTGAGCCAGGGAAGAATTGTTCCATTCTCACTTAGCGCAATGCATCAAAATATTCAAGAGAGTTGTTATATTTTTGGTCCAAATATGGATAATCATAAGGTGAGTCTTTTTTTCAAATTAGTAAAGGAATCATTTGAAAAATTAAACTGATTCTTCATCAGAATGCTGGAAACAAAGCACTCCTACCAAAACTGAACCTCAGCTAACTGACAGTTTTTTTTTGTTTAAAAGGCTATTATTTAAAACTTGCTTTCTGTACTGAGTAGCACTTGAGAGGGGTGGAAAACAGGGACACAGTCTATCCAAATTTTTCACACTGAGCTAATTATGCTTGATTGATTTTTAAATTGGTAATTTTGATCTAACAAAATGTGAGTTAAAGTTCTGTAACAAAACCCTGTTCCATTTCAGTGTATTTTTAGTTGGGAGAGTTGAACACTCGGCGTCATGCTTTATTCTATAGAGGAGTTCCTTCATTTTAATTTGCAAATGCAAACTTAAAAGTCTACTGTGACCATACTAATACATAGGCATCTGGCATATCTGATCATTCTAATTTAATTTGTGCACTGAGCTGGGTTCCTACCTTTTGTCCCTGCACATCTGTTGTGATGTGATCTGCCTCCCCATTCTCTGTCTCCCCCATCTTCACAAGGCTGACATCTATAGTGCCAAATGTTTTCCCACCATCCGTACTCCTGAAAAAAAAAATGGAGAGAGGGAAGAGAGATTTATTTTTTTGCTGGTGTGGCAGTATCATTAATTAAATCCATTTCCTTCGGTCTGAAAACTGGAAAAGTGCTGGACAAATCCTTATTTGCAACGGCTGCTTTAAAAGATGAACCTACACTGTATACATTTTGAAATTCTGCTCCCGTATCCAGGCTCACTTTTAGAATTTAGAATCCTGTATCACATCATACACATCCTGTATCACCAACCTAGCAGTTCGAAAGCACGTCAAAGTGCAAGTAGATAAATAGGTACCGCTCCGGCAGGAAGGTAAACAGCGTTTCCGTGCACTGCTCTGGTTCGCCAGACGCAGCTTAGTCATGCAGGCCACATGACCCGGAAGCTGTACGCCGGCTCCCTCGGCCAATAAAGCGAGATGAGCGCCGCAACCCCAGAGTTGGTCACGACTGGACCTAATGGTCAGGGGTTCCTTTACCTTTACCTTATCACATCATTGTACAGATCGGAACAGAATAAAAAACAATAACATCACAAATTTTATCAGCAGCAACTAGCCACATTTCTGTCTCTACAAGGGTGGAGTTAAGATGCAGTATTGAAGGACCTTGTACTGTAATCTGTAAGTTACTGACTCAGAAACCTCCCAACTGTAATTTGGTCTGCATGGTTTCAGAATGGCTATCAGAAGTAATTCATTTATAAAAGAAATGAACACTTTTAAATAAACAAACAGCTTTTAAAAAACAAAACAAAACAAACAAAAAAGATGTTTAAATCTCAGCTGAGTCATTTTCTGTAGTACAAATGCAATAGGCTCCAGACAACAGGATGGAATTCAACCGGTGCCTAAAAGAAAGTAATAAAAGTTGTCTTGCAGCTATATCATTCAGCAGGGAGTTCCACAGTCTGGGTGCCACCACAAAAAGGTCCTTTTTGGTAGCCATCCATTGTTCCTTAGCTGGCAGTGGCAATCAGAGAAGCACCTTTAGAGAAAATATTAACAAAACAGGCAGGTTTCTGCAGGAGAAGGCAGTCCTTCAGATACCAAGGATAGAATGCAGAATTTCAATGCTATGAATAGAGAGGGTGCGTTTCCCTGTGGGCAAGACCAACATCAGACATTTTTGCCCTAATTTGATTTCATGACATCACGATGCACACTATGCACACAGAACCCGGTCCTCCACATTAAAGCAATCAATTAGCATATGGAAGAGTCTTCCAAAATCCGAACCTATAAGGTGGGTTGTAATGCTATTACACCACACCATAGGCAGGAATAAGAGATGACAGCTCTGGACTTCTGCGGATCTCTTAGCCCAGCATCCCTGACTGGTAGCATATGATAAAGGACTAAATCTCACTGGCTAATCTGTACTAGCAAATCATGCAGATTACATTTTGCCTTCCCAATTCTGTTTTAAACTATTATGGTAAATCCCCCTTTAATTTGAATCATAATAGTTTATTATATTGACCTTATTATACCTCTCTGCCTCCCTCCCTTCACAACTAGCACTAATAAAAGAGGCTTCACTAACCAAGCAATCTGTTTGTGCAAGGAGAATGTGAATATGCAAAAACGAAGAGTGGTTGCTAGCTCACATATACCTTTAAAAAGCCCAGTTGCCACAACAGATGTATTGGTCAAAAATGTCAGTTTACAGCAGATTAGAATGTTTTGATGAAAATGCTTAACTTCTGACTCATTGCCTGTTTGCATTAAATATTCAGCTATTAAACTATGGATTACAGACTGTCACAGGTTTAATCCTGTCGGTTGCTATGAATTTCAGATGCAATGAAACTGTATGTAGCCTGCCAATCATATACCATAAGGCTACAAATGAAATCTTCTCTCTTTCTGTCTCTCTTTTGCAGCAAACACATCCACTCCTACCAAACAGAATAGGTAATTTATTTAACAAGGAACAACTTAGATGTTCATGATTTATTGATTAAGAAGTTCACAAGGCATTACCAGAAGTGACGTGATTAGAGTACACTTAGAACCATAACGTAAGATTTAGATAAGTACAGTGGTACCTCGGGTTACATACGCTTCAGGTTACATATGCTTCAGGTTGCAGACTCCGCTAACCCAGAAATAGTGCTTCAGGTTAAGAACTTTGCTTCAGGATGAGAACAGAAATCGTGCTCCGGCGGCGCGGCAGCAACAGGAAGCCCCATTAGCTAAAGTGGTGCTTCAGGTTAAGAACAGTTTCAGGTTAAGTACGGACCTCCAGAACGAATTAAGTACTTAACCCGAGGTACCACTGTAATGTAAGTGAGATATATCATAACTTTTGAATCACCTTCATAATGGTTTTGTAGCGATAGGTTATATTTTTAATTTCATTTATAGACTTTCGAGATTTCTATTTCTATTTACTGCCATTGCTATCCTCATGCATGAAAACAATCAAGAAGTATATGGAAAGCAGAAATATGGTATGCAACAACAGCAGCAAGAATACTTATCACAAAGTACTGGAAGACACAAGATTTGCCCACTCTGGAAGAATGGCAGATGCAAGTGATAGACTACATGGAATTGGCAGAAATGACTGGCAGAATCCGAGACCTGGGAGAAGAGTTAGTGGAAGAGGATTGGAAGAAATTTAAAGACTACCTGCAAAAACATTGCAAAATGTTTGAATGCTAAAATGATGCAGGATATAAAGACAATATGGCATTAGTGACATAGTTGAAAGGAATTTGTAAAAAATGTTTTATAAGAATAAGGGTGAAAAAGCTAGAATAACATTATGTCAAATTTAAACAAAATGATATAAAGGGAAAAATTGGAGACATAATAGTTGAAATGTATAACATAGAATAAGATTTGAAAAAGGGTAAGGCACTGCTGAATACGATTGTGTAAAAGGGAACACAGAAAAGGGAGATGTGAGGAAGTCAGGAAGGAGGGTTATGAAAACAATAAGTAAGAAACTGGATTTTTATGTTTTTTTATGTCTTTTTTTCTTCTACTTTTTATGTTTTGTATTGCATCTTTTTGTTTTTATTTGATTGTGATAATGTTCTTTCTTTCTTTCTGTTTTTGGTTTTGATTGTGAAGTTTGTTTTATTGTTCAAAATTTCAATAAATATCTTTTTTTTAAAAAAAAGAAAGGAAAGCAGAAATATGGCCACTGCCCATACGAAGAGAGTTATTCCACAGGTTGTAAAGCTGTAAACAGATCAAATCAGTCAATGCAACTGAGAAAAGCCATCATCTAGGATACTTATAGAAAAACACCTGCAGATTCATCTTGTCTTTTTATTGTCTGAGATTGTTCCTATTGTTTGATGCTGTTTTTAGAGTCCAGGCGTATTGAGGACAAGTTCTACACAGCTATGGAACAGAATGGAATAAACACTTGGTTCAGTACTATGGCTTATAAATACCCTATTTCCCATTGGAAAGTACGGCTCCCTGCCTTGTGAAATGAGGAAAAAGACAGATATATGGTTGCTATGGTTATTAGGTTTTGGCCAAGGCATGGAGCAATACACCAGTGCCTCCAACGGCTAAGTGTTCTGATAAGACCCCGAGAGCACCTGTCAGTTGCCCAAAGACAAAGAGAATATGTATCTGAACAGCATACAGTAGTGCAGTAAATTTGTGTGATTCAAAACATTTTCTCCTGACCTGCCATTTACCAATACAGAACCAAATCTCAGTTGTAAGTGAAGGAGGGAAGAAAATGAACATATCAGCAAGCAGGAAGATGTGTTGGTGGAACAGAAATATTTAATTCTTCACTGGACTCCATCTTAGCTTAATCTCATTTTCACACAAGCAGGGCTCACACCCTCCCAGATGCCTTCATTTTTGCTGCTTGTAAGAATTTTGCATTGGGTTAGGCTTTTCTGTGTTGCGTTTTCCACAGACTTTTTGTATAGCTCTGAAGCTCTGATTAATCTTTGTTACCACTTTTGAAAGAGTTTATTTTTCCCTGAATCAGAACTGTTCCTTGTGATTTTTACACACAGCTACCTTTTCTGTGTTTTTTTTCCTGCATTTTGGCTGGTTGCAGGCTTGAAAGTAACACAGAATTCTTTGTCACAACTATAAACAAGAATTTGACAATCTCTTTTGCTGGCTTTGCAGTTATTCAGACTTTCAACAGGATTTGGGTTTGCTTTTGCAGCTGTTTCCTCAGGGCTTTAATCCCTCTCAAGGGAGGATGGGCTCTCAATGCTAAAGTCTGCTTTTCCCCTTCACCACAAGAAAGTTACTATCTATTTTTTTAAAAAAAGATTTTTATTAAAGTTTTCAAAGTATTACAAAAAGAAAAAAGAAAAAGAAAAAATACAAAATAAAAACAGTTAAAAACAATTCAATCTTTTCATGTCTTATCTTTCATTCGCTTGTTCCCCAGACCTCCTCACACCTCCCTTTTTTGTATCCAGTTCAATTGGTTGGTTCAGCAAATCCTTTCCCTCTTTATTTTTATCCTAATCTTTAATCTTAATATGTTATAACTTTAAATTATCCCCTATTAACAGTCCATTTTTACACATCTTTATAACATTACTGCTGAAAACCACTTAGCTTCAATCCAACATCGTTCTAACATTCATTAATTTTACAATATTTCTGTAAATAATCTTTAAATCTCTTCCAATCTTCTTCCACCGACTCTTCTCCCTGGTCTCGGATTCTGCCGGTCATTTCCGCCAATTCCATATAGTCCATCACCTTCATCTGCCATTCTTCCAGGGTGGGTAGATCTTGTGTCTTCCAATACTTTGCGATAAGTATTCTTGCTGCTGTTGTGGCATACATAAAGAAATTTCTATCCTTCTTTGGCACCAATTGGCCGACCATGCCCAGGAGAAAGGCCTCTGGTTTCTTCAGGAATGTGTACTTAAATACCTTTTTCATTTCATTATATATCATCTCCCAGAAAGCCTTAATCCTTGGGCACGTCCACCAAAGGTGAAAGAATGTACCTTCAGTTTCTTTACATTTCCAACATTTATTATTGGGCAAATGATA